GAATCGGGGGACAATCCTGCAGAGGTTGAGTTGCGCTGGCACGATTGGAGGCCAGGGTTAGGTGCATACGGGCCAATGAGATGCCCGGGAGTGGCTGTGGCAGATGTTGATCCGATAGCGATCGGGCGGTCATCAGCGTGGAGAATGCATCGGTGTTCCCTTGAAGGTGTTTCTGCGACTGTAAGCAATGTGTATCTCGACGAGGGCGGGAGGCCACTCACACTGATGATTTCTTCGATGGGTTTGATGTCCTGGCGGGCAGTTTCGGAGATGATCTCCCGCAACAAAGACTCATATGCTGTGACTTGGGAGCGAACCGAATCCAGCTCCAGCTGCTGGCGCTCACGCTTTGACCCCGCATAGTTACAGTCGAGAGCAAGACGACTACATTGCCTACACACGGGCTTGCGACCGTCACACTTGGTCTTCCTGGCCCGGCAGGCCACGCACGCACGGGCAGTGCGCTGCTGATTGTTTTTGAGTGATGGAGGGACAAGCCGGGGGATGGGCACTTTGCCCTTTTGCGCGGCAGCAGGAATAAGGCCTTTTACGGGGTCATCGGCCGCCCCGGGATCAGCGGACTCCTGCATGTCAATGTCACAACCATGAAGGGAAGCGGAGAGGCAGAGGCAAATCAAGAGATGAAGGAAGAGGAGGAGAACAAGGAGAAGAGGAAAGAAGACCTCGAACAGGCATCAAAGTTGAATGATAACAATGGCAACGTTACACCCTGGCATCCAGAACCGACGCCAAAACTGGATGGATGATTAACACATGCCAAGACATGCCGGACCCCCGAATGAAAAGAAGAAGAAAAAAAAGAGAAAAACCTGCAATGGCTCAAAAGTTCGGATCGAAATAGCTGCCGCATGTAGGAGCAACTTTAATTTGCTGATGGCCAAAGGAGGAGTTTTCCATTTGAAAACTGGCCAATCCGGTCCACACGTACCACACTATAACCAGCTGCTCGGGTCCCAACAATTACCATCTTGGCAAAGATCCATCGATGACGTCCTCGGCTTTGGGTGCCCGCATTCAGTTCGGGGTTTGCTTTTTTTGTGTTCGCGTCCTGCAAGTAAGGACGAGAGATAGTCTTCCCCCTGGACAACCCTTCCCTTCAAGCTTGGCGGTGTATTCATGACTCGTGAAGGTCATCTAGACCAAGCGTGTCAGTTCAAGGTTGATAGAAATACCCCAGATCGTACCACAATCTGCCAAGTTGCCCTGAGATCGTCTCCACAGGATTAATACTCCCACTAAGACAGGACAATGGAAGTAAGCTCAGTCAGCATAGGTCGTGAAGATTATACCTGGACTCGACATGCCACTCAACGAGGGGTGGTTGAGCAAACCTCTGTGGCCCACCGGCTGCAAGGGTAAAATTACCACTGCCTCGCTCTTTCCCCTTGACCAGACCATCAGCCTCAACGAAGTACTCCGTAGTCTGATGCTGAAGAAAACCCAAGCGAATTGAAACCTATCGCGAAAACCCACGCGACTAGTGCTTCAGGAGCCAAAACACTAGCCTTGTCCTTCCCGCCGAATGAGTCCACAATCGCCAATCATGATCACTGACTTGAGCTCCTTGACCAGTCGGTATTTTTTTGCCGTAATTTGTTGAGGGTTGTCAGATGTCTTGGCGAGAAGCCACTTCGGAACTATCAACTGCCGGCCGGGTCCAATGAACATGCAGGAAAAAAGATGTCTCTGGGTCAGGAGGGGCACGGCGGATAAACCTCGCTGATGACTCGCTCAGTGTAGCAGTGGCAGTGGGTGTTGGAGAGACTCCGAGAGACCGTCTCGAGAGACTCCTGCCTATTTGGTTCTTAGTCCGACTTGAACGCCTGGATTCACCACTCAGTATGGTACATACTATACAAGCCTAATCGGGGTGTTCGTCAGCCAAAATCTTTTCTCGGGAAGTACGAGTACGTTTCCCGAATCCAGTTGTGCAAGAGTGGTGCTACCCCGACGGGCAGTAGTAAGGCGGTTGTAGCCGCATGGCTATTGTCACAAGGGTAAAAGAGGCCTCGGGGTAACTAACCAATTCAAGTATATTTAGCCTCTGCGTGTAGACATATGTTTTAGAGAGGTGAGTACTGTACACAGTACACCGATCGCGGTTCGCGGTTCGGATGATGTTGCGGATGTTGTGGCGGTGTGGCGCGGCGCAGAGGCTACACAACCCCACACGGTGGAACATGGCAGTGAGACTCGATTGACCATTGAGACTATGATTATTGCGAAATCGAACGTGAATTTAGTCCTCCACAATGCAGCAAGGTCTTTGACGAAGATGAACGAGGCGTGAGTCGGGCTGTCGGAGGTGGAGGAGGAGGAGGAGGAGGAGGAGGAGAGTGAAAGAGGAGAGGTGGACGGGAAGAAGACGAAGATGGAGGGAGAACAAACCGAATACAAACAACTACTGTGCTGACACCACTCCCATACTAGACAACGTCTGACCATACCATCCATCAAGCATTACAAGGTCTCACAGCATTCATTCTAGCCATACAAATCGGATTCCCTCACCAAGACATTAGTCCCCAACCACACTACGTATAGCCGAGACATTATCTAGGCACTTGCGGGGGAAAGCCCGGGGTCAATATCAGATCCCTTCTATAGCTTCCCCACTATTCTACGAGAGCACATACGACATACGACACCAACTATGACACCAACTAGCAGGCAAAGGCGAAGAGAAGAGGATCATAAATCATCATTGGATGTATCAGACAATGCTAATATCGCTTTCCACCAGAACAACAAAAAAATGGGCTTCAGACCAGTTTGGCTTCACGACCTGATCTTTTTTTATCAAGAAAAAGAAAAATTCCCCATCAGCTCTATATACAGGAACCACGAGCAAAAGAATATAAAAAACATGCAAAAGGGGTGAAAACTTGGCAGCCGGGCCAGAAACACAAACAACAGGAGGAAGAAAAGGCAGGGAAAAGCTTACGCCGCGAAGAACAGCTCATCGAAGCGCTCCGTGGCTTCCTGGGTGACATCGACCCCATAGATCTCGCGCTGAACGTCGGCGTCGGCCCACTTGTCGGGGACGGGGCCCTTGCCCTCGCGGAGGGCGGCGAACTGCTTGTCGCGCTCCTCCTTGGCGGCGCCGTCGCCCAGGTGCAGGGCGCGGCCGGAGGCGGCGGCCAGCTCGACGAGGGCGTAGGCGCGGTTCTTGCGGATCTTCTCGTAGACCTTGAGGGCCTTGTTGATCGAGGCCGGGGTGGTGTCGGGCAGCTGGGCCAGGACCTTGCCGATGACGGCGCCGTCCTCGATCGCCTGCGCGGCGCCCTGGGCCAAGTGGGGGAGGGTCGGGTGGCAGGAGTCGCCGACGAGGGCGACCGACTCGTGCACCCAGGTGGGCAGCGGCTCGTGGACGCGCAGCTTCCACTCGCAGACCTCGCCCTCGGGGACGTAGCCGAGCATGCGCTGGACCATGGGGCAGAAGTCGCCGAAGACCTGCAGCATGACGGACTTGTCGCCGCGGGTGGTGTAGGTGGCGTTGGTGGCCGCGGCGAAGTTGATGTCGGGCTGGGTGGTCGAGAGGTTGTAGATGGTGTTGTTGGAGACCGGGTAGGCGATAATGTGGCGCTTCTCGCCGATCCAGCGCGTGACCTTGTTGCCGCTGATCAGCGCCAGCAGCTCCGGGTCATCCTTGACCTGGTCCTTGTGGATCATGATCCGGTACGCGGCCTGGTTGGTGTCCTTGACGCCGGCCTGGATGCCGAGCAGGTCGAGCATGGCAACCCGCGTGTTGGACTTGATGCCGTCGGCGCCGAGGAGGACGTCAGCTTCGACGCGGTAGGGCTCCTGGGCGGTGTCGCGGGGAACGGCCTTGAAGGACGGCTTGGAGCCGAAGGTGACATCTTGGGCGGTGGTCGCAAAGTGGAAGCGAATGGCGTCGGGGTGGCGGAGACAGCCCTGGTAGAGGCCGTTGGCGAGGGAGGAACGGTGTCCAACCATGTGCGGGTAGCCATACGTATCCGCAATGTATTCCAGCGGTACGTGCGCCAATTCCGCGTCCGTTGCTCCAACTGCACAATGATGGGTCAGTCACTCATTCCTTAATCAAAAAAAAAAAAAAAAGAAAAAGAAAAAGAAAACATACCCCGGACGCTGGTCTCAACAATGTTGACAGCCTCGGCCTCAATCTGCTTCCACACACCCAAACGGTCGAGGACGCGGGCCATGTTGGGGGCAAGTTGGATACCGGCTCCAACAAAGCCCAGGTCATGCGCCGTCTCATAGACATCGATATTCTTGAAACCCTCCCGGGCCAAAGCCAGAGCGCAGGTGAGACCACCCATACCTGCGCCCAAAATGGCCACCTTAAGATCTTGCGGGGACTGAGCCATTGTGTGAGAGGAGAGGAGAATGCTAACAATAGTAAAGAAGAGAGGAGAGGAGATTGTTCTTAGAGGAGTAAAACAGTGTGCAAAAGATCCAAGTGGAAGAGGATATACAGGGCATTAAATATGGGATGGCAGCCGGCAATCGGACTGGCGAAAGCGGAGTAAATCTTACCCGTGATGCTTTTTCCTCCCCACGATTTCCCACATTCCATCCAACGGGGGGCCTCGACTGGCGCCTCTTGCCTTCCGACCAGCCCGGAGAGGCGAATTCTAATGCTACTGCTTCCCTCGCCGGTGACTGGTTTGGTCGTCCCCCAGGCTTTGGCGCAGAGGTTCATGGTTTCCCCACAGATCGGTAACTGTGCCCCGTGGGGCGATTCAGTCTTACTCCCGGGGATGAGATTATCCTCCCAGTGACGCGGACACCGGGAATCCATGGGATTACTAATGGCTGACGCTATGTAGCTAACTAACTCGTGACATTAATTATTGGTATTATCTGTATATCGGTACATCGGTCAGAGTGTGGAGTACCTAGTACGTACTCCGTAGTAGTATACAAAAAAGTGAATGTGGGGAAGTGACATAAGTGATCGCCCTTCTTTTCCAGAGATGCTCTCTCTCCACCACACTCTACAAAGCATTTCCCAGCTCCCCAACAATGGTACCCACGGGCACTCCGATAGCCGGCAACCCCAGGCCAGACACCAAGGCGGCAACATCGGGATCCAGCTTGATCAGCAGGAGACCACCGTCCTCACCCACCACAGTGAGCAGGCAATCCACAACCGGTCCCAAGTTGGCAATCAGGTCGCCCACCGAGGCAGCCGACCGGATCACTTGGCCCACGCTGCGCCCAGCCTCGTTCAAGCCCAGGTTGACCAGGAGCTGCGCCACGGGGTTGCTTAGACGGATCAGCAGTGGCTTGAGGTCTTCGCCGGTGATTTGAAGGATGCAATCCACCACGGGGGCCAGCTCCTCGAGCAGACCCGCCGGCTTCGAGACATCAGTCCGACGCTTGAGGCTGCTGCCAATATCGCTGAGCACATTTCCCACCGGCTGAGCGAGCGCATCAAGGCCAAGCTCGCGAAGGAGATCAGCCACGGGGTGGTCCAATTCGATCAACAAGAAACCAAGACCCTTGCCCGTCACGATGCAAAGGTTGTCCACGGGCTGACCCAAGTCCGACACCAGCTCACCGATGCTGGAGGCGCTTCGGAGGAGGCTTCCCACGGGCTGAGATAGACCCACCAAGCCGAGTCCGGCCAACAGGTCAGTAACTGGGTCGCTCAGCTGGATGAGCAATTCCTCCGTGCCGCTGCCGACGACCTTCAACAGGCGATCGGCCTGAGGACCCAGATCCTGAATCAGATGGCCTGTGCCGTGGCAGTGGCCGCTCTCACACGACGAAGATCCCGACGGGGTCGAGCCGGGGGTCGAGGAGCCAGGTCCGGAGGGAACGGTTGCAGATGGTTGAGAACCGCCGGACGCGCCGGGGGAGCTTCCAGGACCGGCTGAACCAGAGGGGTTCGAGGGGCCAGAGGGGCCAAATCCAGAGTGGCCACTAGGTCCTGCAGGGCCTGATGGGCTGGAAGATCCGGAGCCACCGGGACCAGAGGGACCAGACGGATCAGAAGAGCCCGTGGATCCAGGAAGACCCGAAGGCTGTCCAGAAGGTTCAGCACTCGGAGACGATGCTGCCAACGGCACAGTAGCGGAGGGAGCGGGCCGGAAGCCTGGAAGAGTGACAGGCTGGGAGGAAGCAGGCGCTGGCTTGCCGGGGAAAGAAGGAACCCCGGATGGAGAGCCACCGGGAGAGAGGGACGCTGAAGGAGCAGGAGACTCGGACTCGAGGGCAGGCTGCGGGGGCTCAGAGCCAGAGCCAGAGCCAGAGCCATGACCGCCATTGGGCTGGCAGGTACATTCACCGTCGCGAGCGTAAGGCTGGCCCACGGGGCTCGCCACCGTGCAGGCGGCCAGGACGAGGGCCGTCAAGAAAGAGGCCTTCATTGTTGAGAGAGTGTCTAACGTGTAGCCGACAAGGGCAAGAGAATGACGGGTCGACAAGTTGAGGAGAAGAGGAAGGACAGAAGAAACTGGAGGCAAAGAATGGTTGACCTGCTTGATCCTGGATGATGAAGGGTGATGAGACAGTCCCAGGAGGGTTGCGGGCGTGATATATATACCCGGTCCTGGCCATGGAGGGTGATTTTGAAGGTATTCGGATTTTGGACTGAGTGATTGAAAAAGGTAAACTTCAGCTGAGCAGCTGCAGCTAGTGAGAAACTATTGCCCGTCACAAAGAATCACTCCGATCGAATATGTTGATACATCACGGCGATCGGCGCAAAGCTGACAGTTAGTGAGCGAGACGCGAAACCCAACTCATGTTCTAGATTCATGCGCTGACGGGCACTTATCGATCGGACAATCCTTATCTAGGCTCAGACCGATGAGCGTCTCCTGTCAGGCGTAGATGCCTCTGACCATCGAATAGAGGTTAGGTGCATTTGGCGAAATGTTCCTGTAAGAAAATTGCGAGTGAGTGATGAGTGAACGCATAGAAGATAGGTTTAGTATGCGCATTACGGAGTACTCGAGCATCAAACCTTGTATCCTTGCTCTCTCCCCGGTATGAACCACAATATGGCGATGGCTTGTAGTCTATCCAAAGTGGCTGTCAATGGTCGCTTGCCGGGCTCTCGCTTGGCCGAATGAACCGTCCCCATCTCGACAAGGATTGACCCGAAACCCCCCTGGTCAGGATGTAGACGCATGCAGGAACCAGGATGTTGGCACGAGCTCTTGGTCTGGAACCCGCCGATCGGCCTCGAGCTGAGCCCTAATGCCACCGCCTGCATCCCGCTATTGATCGCCGGCATAAGCTCAAGCAAACATTTCTATAGACCACACAGACTGTCGTAAAGAGTTTTTCTGTCGATAGATAGATCTAGACATGAAAAGGATACATCTCTACATGACAGTTGTCATTTACACGAGATTGTTCTCCTTTATTCTTCTACTCCCCGACGGAGTAATTGGGTTCCGACACGAAGCCTTGGCTTGGAGGATGACTTAGCAGAGCCTAGACTTGGAAGCAATTGAACAAAAGACCTCGCAGGTGGAAAAGAAGGTCTAGCATGGGTTGAACGAATGGGAAAAACCAAACGAAGGGGACTGAAGAACAGCCGACTATTGAGTCCGAGTAATGTGATAGCACAAGCCATAGCCACTCAAGCCACGAGTTCCAAGTGTCCCTGGCAAAGCACAAGTTCGAGATCTGAGACGCATCGCTCTAGCCACCAAGATATCTTCTTGATTGACCTGCTATACTATCTCGATCTGTTAATCGCTATCGACCGAGTTTAACCTAATGCTGCTCGGGCGGTCGACGAAACACAAACCACTAGGATTCGATACTGCCTGCACAGTACACCTTTAACACCACGGATAACAGGTCCAGGGTTCCCACAACGCGTTCCCACAACGCATTCCCACAACGCCCCAGATGGCAATCCTTACGACCTACGTTCTCCATGAATGGATAACAGCCGAAGAGCTTCATCCTGCAACCAGGACAGAATAGTCACCCGGCAGATATCCCTGCAGCAAACCCCCAGCATTCAACCCAGAGCCCAACCCTAAGATGTCAACGGAACCAACATGCGTCACCATGAAAACAGACGCTCGGAACAGACCTCCGCGCCGGACTCCCCTCCACGATCCCAACCCCCTCACAGTCCCCTGCAGAACCAAATTAATGCTATCCAACCTCAATGCCCTGAAACGGAGCATCTCGATCTCTCACCCAGCAGCCCACCATCATGGCTAGTACCTCCCTTGACACGGAGGTGCCTGGCCCCTCCTCTCCCTCATCCCGATCCCAATCCCTTCTCCCCCCTCCTTACACTTTATCAGACCTAAAGCACGGGGCCACCACATCCCCAACCCTCTGGTACCGCATCCACGTCCTCCTGCACGACCTGAGCAACTTCAACCACCCCGCATCGCAGAAGCGGCTGGGCAAAGTGGCCGACCCGTACTACATCGGGAAGCCCTACTTCACCTGGGACGAGGCCCAGCTGATCAAGCGCACCAGCACGAGCGGCGTGCACGGCCGGACGGTGGAGCAGGTGGTCGAGGAGAAACTCCGGGAGAAGCTCGAGCGCCTCCACCGCAAGAAGCGCCCGATGAGTAATGGGGGGGATGAGCTCCGGGTCTGCGCCGCGCATGACCTCGCGCCCATCATCGCCCGGTTGCTGCAGATTGACCTGAAGGTGTTGGGGAGGGACGAGCAGTTTGCCAGGTTGGTCGAGGAGCATGGGTTGTACCTTGAGGGGGATGATTGGGTGGGGTTGAAGAAGAGGACGTTTGGTTCGAGGAAGAAGAGGAAGTGAGACGCGGGAAATGGTGTTGTTCCTGTTGGAGGGCCGAAGGGGATGATGCATGCTCGCTTTCTCGGAGCAAAACTTTGGTAGTAGCAGGGTTAGAAGATGTGATTTTGCCCTCTGAACAATGTTCTTCCAAACAATATTTGGGTAGAAATTCAATTTACCCTATGATCGCTACCCTCAAGGTATTATCTCGGAGAGCTTTGACATGACCGAAGCCCAGACTCGGCGCACTACCATCCTCGCAAACCATCAATGAGCCCGAGCCTCGAATTATCAGAACAGCCTTGCGACCAGTCACGTAATAGTGGGTTGGGTGAGGATCATCGAAGGCGGTAGTGCGGTCATTTGGCATCTTTTGGGAAGAACATGTACGGATGGTTGCATGGATCCCAGAATAGCTGGATACGGTGGCACTTGGTGGGCGTGATTGAGTATCGGACAGCGACTATCGACGGGTTCGAACGACCATGAAGATCTTGGGCATGGAAACAGTACCACGCAACCTAGCGAGCACGAAAAAAGGGGCTAGCGACGTGGTACCAGTGTCATGTGGTAGGCGAAGATGTTGCCAGTGGTTGTGAGATTTGGGTGATCCAAAAGTTGACTCGGATGGTTGTTTGTTTTTTTTGTATATCATGTTGTTGTTATTAGTTCCGAACGTGATATCGGGATGCTCCAGGGCGGAGGTGGTGGACAATCATCCTTGGTGGTATTGTTGCTGGGGATGCAGTGGGCGATTGTAGAGGCAAGAGCGGCTGCATACCTGGTAGGGCATCAAAATCTTCACTCTGCCCTCCCAATATCCACACCGAACCGCCCTCCATCCCACCACCCCAATCCAAACACCCATCCGGCAAAGACCCCCCGTCTCAACAATTCCTGATCACCACACCACTCCGACCCCGCCGGCAGCACATCCGACCTGACCAGATCGGACCCCGCCAGCAGCGAGGCCGCTCCCGCAATACTGCACGGATTTACAGGGATGACCTCCTTGGTCTGCAAGAAGTAACACGCAACCAGGACTGAGAGCGCCATCGCAGCCAGACAGCCTTCGAGAATTCTCGTCGATGGTCCGTTCTGAATGAGCCGGACCCGATTAGGCCGGATAAGCGTTCCTGAATATCGTTGCGTTGTTGCATTGGCGGAGAAGATCCGCGAATTGCCGTTGAGCCCTTGCGCCATGAGGACGCGGTAAAGGTGCTGAGTTGCGTTGATCACGGCTGGATAGCGCGAGAGATCGCCGGGGGCGCCCGTGATATCCTCCACCGTGAGAGTCTTCTGATCGTGGATCATGGCCGAGAAAAACTCGTCAAATGCCTGACTCTCGTTGTTAGTCGCCTGCGGAAGATAATTGGGAAACAGCAGGTCCGACGAAAACTCGGCACTGAAGAGTCGGCGGGACGATTCGTTCGCGGTCGCCCCGGTGATCTGTAGACCTGGAAGGGTAAATGTCACGCCGGCATCAACCTGGTCAACGTAGGGATCGCAGGTGAACCCTTGCAACCCCTTGGTGGAGTTCGCCGTCAAGACGCCGTACCACCCCATCAAGGTCGGACAATGGCCCATCGCCACGCTCGGGTTCATGTACTGCAACGAGCCGAATGAGGTGTTGTTCATGGTCGGATAGTCAGTGCTAACTGCGAAGCTGGACGACATATTCTGGCTGCAGTTGGGATCCAGGTTCAGATAGAGGTTCCAGGCGGAAAGGAGCGCGCTGGGCTCCTCAACCCTGTAGACTGTGTCCTCGGCGAGGATCTGACATTCGAGACGGGCCCGGAGACCGGGGAGCGTCATCTGCAGCACAGAAGAACGGTCCACGCTTCCGTTGGCGGAGCGGTACTGTACAGGACCCTGCTTGCTGGTGAGAGACGCCTCACCGAGAGTCGGCAGCACCAGTTCCTCGTAAGTCCAAGCAGGATAAGAGAGATTAGCAGCAACGACAAGGGCTCCTGCCAGTCCCACGCCTGCATTGCTGGAGGTAGA